CATTCAGGGAAGAGTTATTCTTTTTACAGTAGGTGGGAGGAGGTGTGTCTAGGACTCAGAGGTTTTTCTATACCATCTCACGTCATTGCTGGGAGCAGGGAAAAGAGACTCTTGCTTCCAAGGAGAAAGGGTTCCTTCCAATCGAGAAAATGTGGCAGGAGGAGCTGTCCAGAATTCTTTATTGTCGTGGGCTCCATGGCGAGCGTTTTTGCACATGAATCACTCTCTCTTTTGTATACTTATTACTATTGTTGTTACTGTTCCTTTTCTTATCTCGTTGCCACTTCCAGTAAATTGTTCTTATCTCAACCTGTAATCCTTGCCTTTTGTACCTCCAATTGGAGGTGGGTCAGGGGGAGACGTGTATTTTTTATAGTGGGAGTACTAAATTGGAGAATACCATTCCTAAAGCATGACAACATTAATTGGTGCCCAATGTGGGGTATGAAGTGTTGAGATAACAACAGATCTGCCCAGAGTGGACTGGAAACAAATTTGATCTAAGCATTTGTTGTATTAGGTGTGGAGTCACTGGTCATAATATTGCTTGGTCTGTTCCTGTGGATGTGATACCTAACCCTGAACGTACTCCCGTACATACTGCTCATGGGGATCTTTTTCAGAGCAGGGAGAGGGACCAGGATTGCTTTATTGCTGTAGTGTGTGATATCAGTTTATGATACGATAACATCAAGGGCAATGAGAGTCATTTGGGATGCATATTCACTGTTGCTCTCCTACCCTTATCATGGGTGCTACCTTTGAGAGCCCATTACCAGCACATAATGCATCCTGATGCCATCAAGGTACATAGGGGCAGAACCTCATGGTATCTTTATTTCTGGGATGACAGGAGGATCCCAACAGCTGACTGTACTGGAAGCTGAAGTGATCCTGACTGGGAGCAAGTGGCAGAAACACCCCATTATGACTGACCCAGAAGCCCCATGCATCCTTTGCATAGATTACCTCAAGAAAGGGTATTTCAGGGACCCAAAAGGGCTTTTGGGATAGCTGCTTTAGAGACAGGGGAACTTAGTTGAATACGTTGCCTGGTCTCTCAGAGGATCCTTCTGCTGTGGGACTGCTGAGTTCTGAAGAACAACAGGTACTGACTGCTACCTCAACAGTGCACCATCGGCAATACCGCACCAACTGGGACTCTGTGACCCCATCCATGAGATGATTTGTGAACTGGAGAGCCAAGGAGTTGCCAGCAAGACTTGCTCACCCTTTCATAGTCCTATATGGCCAGTGTGTAAGTCCAGCGGTGAGTGGAGACTGACAGTGGACCATCATGGCCTGAACAGAGTCACACCACCACTGAGTGCTGCTGGGCTGGATATGCTGGAACTTCAGTATGAACTGGATTCCGAGGCCTCCCAGGGCCTGGCTGTTCTGAGTTTCCATAAAGCATCTTCCTCTTTGGAATTACAGTTCTGCCAAATCAAGTATCAAATACATTTCCCTTATGTTTATAAACTCAATAAATGGGACATATCTTTCTGTTGACATAATGCCTAGTTTCATATTTATAGGATTGTTTTAAAGTTTACTTTCAACTAGCTCAACTAATGGCTGCATTTATCTAGAGAATGGTCTGAGCTTAAAACATATTGCAAACCTTCACAGGTTCAGAACTGATTTTATTTGGAAACTTGGAACATTTTATTGACTTTCTGAAAACCAATAACTAAACCAAATTAATATTCACCAGCAAGGTAGAAAAATATTCTTGGATATAGCTTTCAAAATTCTTTGTTTTGCCTATGTGTCCATTCTTCTGACTTGTCTGACCATTATTTTTCAGGCATAATCCCCTACAGTTCTTGGCCACCTTCTGGGAGAATAAGCAGGGGCTTTTCCACATGGAGAGATGTGGGTCCCTGTTTGTGTGCATCTTCCAGAGCAGTTGGAGTTGCCAACACCATGGCTGCATGAGGACTCATGGTCGCTTTGGCTCTTGCAGGTGTAGATGCTTGACTTGACCTTCACCCCATTGCTGGCAGTAGGAGATGGAGTGGCGAATGCTACCTGCAGATTCACACAGGACATAGGTAGCACTGAGGTCCAAATAGGCTCTTTGGGAAGAATGCAATAACTCAGAAATGAAGGTGTGGTAAGGAGAGGTTTGTGATCTCTGTTCTTTCAGTATGGGAAGAATAGGCTCAGATATTGCCTCTTCTCAGTACAGTAGATATACATTTTTTAGCAGCATGTCCTAATCTTCAGTATTGAAACTTGGACAAAGCAAAAGGAACTTTTCTAAGTCAAGATCCTCCTAAGAATTTAGTCTGCAATACAATAATCTCCCCAAATGGTCCCTTATTACCAGCAGTCCATGATGATAATGTGATGATTTTCCACTCTGGGATCAAGGATGTTTTGGAGATGGCAAAATATTTTCCTCTGCACTTGGCATTGCACGTCAAACTGGAAAAAGCTCCTGCAGAATATTTGGAGAGCAGATCAGTGGTCCTCATTCACCAGTCTATGTGTTAGCAGAGATGGGCACTCCTCTGATAACATGTGACCAGTGGGTAGCATTCCTGATTTAAATTGCAATCTCAGACAAGTGCATATGTAGTTCCTTCATTGCAACAAAGATGATTGGTTTTGTTAGGTTACATGATAAAAAGCTGGTCTCTGCAACACAGAGGAGCAGAGAGGGACAACAATGGGTGGGGGAACCCCAGAGGTATTTCCACGGTGATTCCAGGCACATCACAGGAGAGCCATCAGCACACTGAGGCTCATCTCCCCACTGAGGCATGAGGCATGAGCCTTGAGGGCTGTTTGCATGCCCCAGTGACAGCAGGATCAGAGGCCAGTTACTGGGTGGACTGTGCCTAAGTCCAGCTACTGCAGGGATCCTCACTGCATACATATATATATATATATATATATATATCCCACTAGTACATCAATCAGCCAGAGAAGGGAACAGGATGAGGCTGTTGGTGCTTGCTGTGGTTTCTGTCTAGGTTTTCCTGTGTGTACTTATGTGTATAGGTGCTGTATATGTCTACGTGAGTGTCTGTGCCTATTGGGAACACATACTTGTGGTTGACCATGAGAGCACAGAGCTGCAGCTGCCTTCTTCACACTGCTCAGCTTCTGGATTCACCAACATAAAACAGGTTTTGTGCTGAATTTTTCTTGTATGAAATCCATGTCTGTTTGTACATTTACTCTGTTGGATTCAAGCGATTTTGAAAGCCTTTATTAATTTGTATGTGCACTTGCCATTCATGTTAGATGTTCTTTTGTGGTGTTGTTCCTGGCAGTCTTATCAAAGTGAAGAGCCAAATACAAGTGAATTGACGAACTGTAGAAATAGCTTTAGGGGTTCTTTACCTGTCCACATTGTTTTGGTCTATGGATAAAGTCCAGCCGCTGGCACTGACACAATACCTCACAGCCTTGGGAGCTGGTACCAAGAAAATTGGCTTTGATTTCCTAGAATTGCACATAATCTTTAAACATATAAAGATGTCCCACTGAAAAAACTGAAACTACTCATACATTTCAATGCTTTATGCCTGTAAGAACCAGTTTTTTACAATATGGGTCTTTTGACTACCACTGAATGCATGTGATTTTCCCAGCTCATTACTAAATCAATTATATTTGTTTAATTTCAAATGCATTTTGTTGGGAGGGGAGAATAAGGAATTGTTGTATTAAAATAGTTGATGAGTGGTTGGCTGTGCATGTCCTCTACTTTGGCTTTTACTAATACCTGTCACTCCTAGATCCAAAGTCCTGTTATTGCTCTGCACCTGCAGGCTCCCCACTTAGAAAACCTATTTCATGTTCTCTGGAGAAATATTTGTTAAGACCAAGGTAAGAAACTCTTCAAACTCCATAGTTAGCATGGCAGCTCAAAGGCCTGTGCACCCACAATAAGAATTTGGGAGTTTCATATGTGAAGTTTTTAGTTTGTGAGTAATATTGCCTCCTGTAAAATATTACATATTGGTGAAATGAAGCTAATAACCTTTTTGAAAATAAATAGTCAATTATTTTGCTCATTGTTTTGTCACAATGTCATGCTTTCTACTTTCCCTGACCTCTCAGGGAGACAGGAGAACAGAGTAAGGAAACATGAAATCACAGTCACTTCAGCCTTCCTCATGACCTGAGTCTACTGCTTATTTACTATGGCCTTGTTCTTCAGACGAGTAATCCAGCAATAACGATGCTCGATCAAGCTCAGAATAGCAGAGTTGGAACCAGTGCTGGGGGTTTGTCATCAAAGCAGTCTGATTTTCCCTTGGTACTGGGCTGTAGTCTCTTAAAATCCTTTCCCAGTTACAGCATCTCAAATTCAAATTCCCACAAATTGCTGGTGGCATTAAAAAATGTTGGCCATTTTGCACAACAGCATTGTCTCTTAATGTCCATTTACATGATGAAGTCATTTGTATTCTATTTGTATGTCTTAAATCCAGACAAAATATTTAAGACAGCAAAATGGTTAATTTCTTTTCTTCAAAGGCTGTTTTTAATTTTGAAGTGAACAAACACTAAACTGTTTTGCCATGCTCCAGGTGGAAAAATAAACCACAACAAAACCCCACCCAGACATGGTGTTTTTCTCCCACTTTAGGCAGGGCTGATATTAAGTATCTTCTTTTCACAGGTTCGATAACCATCACTGACAAAATGAAGTTTTGTAGCAGATCGCCCTGCCTCCTCCCAAGCCCAGTACCCACAGCAACACACCCCCCCCCTCCTTCTCCCAGCCTGGCATGGACTCTGGGTGCGTGTGGGTGAGGGGACCACCAGTTGTCTCACCCCAGTCCAGCTGCACCCACGGGAGGAAGCAGCCACAGAGGGAAGGAAGCAGAAGTACCTCCCCGTGCCACTCCTCCCCTCCGCCGGGGAGCCCCACAGCGTACCCTAGCACGGCATGCACCAGCCGGCAAGTGTTACTGCCTCGAAAGCTTTTCAGTGGTCTTTACGTGCCAAGCCCACATGCTGCCTTGCTGCGGACCATGGCCTCTACCCTGGAGAATTTCATTCATTCTCTGGACCCCAGAGCCCTTCCCAGGGTCCTCGAAATCCAATCAGGCGTCTATTTCCAAGGTGAGCATCGAGTGCTTTCTGTCAAGGCTTTGTGTTTGACATCAGGCCCCCCTCCTGACGAGAATGTGGGGGAGGCAGAGGGAAGATGCTGATGGAGTTGTCTCCTAGCAGTTTCCCAGTTTTCACTTTGAAGAATGAGTGTTTGATCAGTGGCTTTGAAAATGTCTTTGGTAGGGTGCGCATTTGGTCTTCTCACTGGCAGTGAAGAAGAAAATTTAGTTAGTCCTCATTGTATCCTGGAAAGAGTAGGGGAATGAGACATGAATTTGCTTTGCTCTTACACAGAGCCATCAATCCAGCAACCACAAATCGCTTCACAGAGTTTATTTGATTAAAGCTAGCTTGCACTTCTAGAGCTGCCATGAAGAGGTGCTTTCTGGCTCAGGGAGTCTGGAAAGTGACCGTGAGGTTATCCTCAAGTTCTGTCCTGCATTTGGCGATACTTCAGGTGGTGCAATAATACGAAGTGGTGGGTATGAGTAACACAAGTGACATATTTTACTGTGTTTTCCTGCTGCAGATCTTTTTTATGGTTTTTTTAGTGCTGGGCTCTGCTTGCATACAAAACACAGTGGAAAGGTGGTAAAGAGGCTTGCATTGGAAGGAAAAATCCTTATCTTGGTCAGGGCATGGGCTTTGTTCCATGACAGTGAAAACATCATGTCAAGCTCATGTATCAGTCTAGGAAAAGAAAATTACCGCCATGCCACTGCAAGGGGAAACTCGGGCTCCAGCTAAATAAAACAGAGAGAGTTTCATGACACGAGCTGAAGTCTGATTCAGCTTCAGCCAAATACCCACTTCAGGATCCACAATATCTGTCTTTACACCAATCTAAAAATCCTCATGCTGGTCCTTAGTAGGAGGAGACAGGAGGTGGCCATGGAACATCTGAACAGCAATTAGTAGCTGTGGCTGGAGTGGACGATTATTCCCTCCATGAGAACAGCCTTTTGGGGCAGAAAGAAAATGGAAAAGGGCATACTGAGTCTGTGATCGTAGTGTCAACAACAACTGTCCATGTTGTCCCAGTTGCCCATTCTGGCTGCTCTGGAAACTGCCTAGGACACATGAATAGTATTAATATACAAAAAGGCATTTTGGAAAATACACATAACTAAAAATACCAGAAACTTTTGAAAATACACTTTTTCTGATCTTTGCTATGTGGCCTGTTCAAGTTTTATGTTTTAAACTGGTCTGACAGCTGGGACTGAATTAAATTCCTGATAAGGAAGCTACTACCTAAGTGATGAAGAGTGGAACTGAAATTAAAAAAGGGAAAATCGCATCCTTAAGTTGGAGTAGCCACTATATTTGTCCCTTTCCACACACCTAGGAAACATAAGTGATATGAAAACAATTTGTATATATATGTACATCTATGTACGTGTACATGTACATATATATGTATTATATGTGTACACAAAATATTGTGAGATATGTATATATATGTAAAAAATGCAGTGATGAAATGATAGTAGCCCAGCTGTCTGCATATTTCTGAGTTCCAACTTGCTGCTCATGGATGGTAAAATTCATATCAGTTAATCTTTGTAGCTGGGGTATTTCAATTTGTGCTTCCACCTACTGTGTAAACCCATCTACATGAGGAGGAAAAACCAATGGCAACTTAGCCCACAGCCCATTCTGCAGCTGTGTTCTCACATGTGAGACAAAAAAGCTATTAGCTGACTGTGATAAAAGTGCCTGCACAGCCTTGGGAGGGGGTGGTATGTGCTCTAAAGACCCGGGAATATTTGCATTAAAAAGTGTGCTGCTCTGATGCTTTTTTTGATCTTCAGCAGCACCACCTCTTCCTGTCCTCTGCTCCTGGTGGTTTCTCAGCTGTACTCATACATGTTCCACCTGCAGAGTAGATGCAGCACTAGCATAGGTTCATGTGTCTCTTGCTTAATACAACATGCAAGACTGATACAGACATTCTACTTGTCTCCTTCCCCCCACAGTCAACATATCCCAAGAATACTTGTAAGTACCTAGAACACCAATATCCCATAGCACACTTATGGTGGTTCCTCTTCCTTGCTTCAGAGGAAGTCTGAGATTCTCAAGACACTTGGTGCCTGATAGGCTTGCAGGATCAAGGGCTACAAAAGATCTTCTCAGGCCAGACCCTCTCTTCCTCTCTCTCCCTCCATGAGCTCTCTGTCCCTGTCAGATCTCTCCTGAATATTTTGCTCCTTTCTGTACCTGGCAGCAGGGGTGAACATACTGTTCTGTGATTGCATTGTGTTTTATGTTGCATTTTCTGAAGCAAGAGTAGTGCTTCAAAGAGAGTCTGAAGTCACTCCTGTTATATTGCTAAACAGGAGAATAAACTACTTTGAGCACTTCAAGCTTCCATTAGGGCAAGCATTCTTCAGCCCTTCCTCAGGCAGATTCCCCCACCCCTGTGACAGCTTTTTTGATCTCTCTTACCCCATGCGGTACACCAGCAATCACAGTGTGGGTAATGGCAGGTCCATCAGCCGGGATGGGTTTATTACTATGGTTGCAGGGACCAAATCTGAGCATTTGTGCATTGATTGTAGTAGCTCCCAAATGACTACGCAGTCAGCCTGGTCAGCTGAGTGGTTTTATGGAGTGGGATTTCCCGAATCTGTAATCATTCTCAGCACAACAGGCAGATAGTAAAGGAGAAGATCTATTTTTAAAGCATTGCATATGATTGTTTGAAACTGATCAATCACAAGGCATAATTAATTTTCCTGTGGAAGAATTTAAAATAGCAATAATTTGTATATATGTAAACATTAATATATATTCTTCTCTCTACAACCTCTGAAAAAAAAGGCAAAATTTCTTAATGTCAGCTTAACCAGGTACACAGAATGGCTAATGGAGTAAATAATAGTCTACTAAATCCATTAGAGCTGTCACATCAAAGTTGTAGCAGCCAAACAAAGAAGGCTACCAGCAAGCTATGCAATAAGAAGACAGCAAAGTGATTCATTTACTGTTCTGTGGTGCCTTGTGTGCTATAGGGATGAAACTCTCCATTTACTCTGTCTGGAAGCAGCGTTTTTTACACACTACACTTAGGTCTAATGATTTTACAAATTGCAAATTAGCCTTGTGGTGCTTGACAGATTTTCAGGACCTCTGAAAGCATAAAGAAAGCATAGTGCTTTGTAAAGATGGATGTATCTTTTTCCATGTGGTAAGGTACTTTACTTAGAAACTACGAAGTCAGGCTCTAGGAAAAGAGTGTGAATTTTTTTGCCTTGGGCAAAGTAGCATCTCCAAAATAATCCGTTCTGCCTTTATATCCATGTTATACCAAGTACAATCTAGGTCTCTGCTTTCAGACCCAAGCCTGCCTACTACCATTGCTGATGGAGAGTATGTAGAAAACGTATGCTGTGTGCACTCATTCTACCATTAGTCTCTTTACTAGCCTATAAAAAATTATGTTCCTGCTGATAGTAGTGAAATGTTATGTATTTAACTTTAGTTCTCCAAACTGCAAATGGACAGGACTTTATAGACTCTGCTTCCATTCGGAATACTTTCAGCTAGAAAAGCTATAGGCAATTGAACTTTTGCTGTTGGTAGTGAATACTATGAAGTAGACACCTTTCTGAGGAAGTTCTGTTCCTGTTCACATGTCTGTTCCTGGCCTGAAGCAGAGGGAAGGGTTTCCCTGGGGTGATATCAGTAGTTTTCATGCTACACCTGGACCTTGCAGTTGTTTAAAGCCTTACCAGTTTGCCTCTAGGCAGGATACCAAGGTCTGAGGAGATTGTTCATACTCTCATGTTCCTATTCCCCTTTCCCTCCAACCATGTGTGTGGGTGCATAGTCGGAGCCCCAACCTGCAATCATCACCTACCACTGTCCAACACTGTGCAGAGTCAGGAACATGGGGTATTAGTAATAGCCCTGAATTCTTCCAAAGTGCTTTTCATTCATCATACTCAAAAGACCATACAGAAGTAGAAAAATTATTGTCATCCCTGGTTTGAAAACAGAAACCGAAGTGAAAGGAGATGGTAGTTCTGCAAATGCCAGGGATGCCTGTCGGGATAATAATTTTGGACTCTGCAGTCATAATGTCATTGCTACAGAAACTGGACTGTAGTGTTGAATCTCTGAAGGGAATAGGAAGGCTGATTATAAAATGAGAGCAAGTCTGCCAGATACAAATACCTCGGTAATCAGCACTGATTAGAAAAAACTACAGTGCAGACTGAAGTACATGACAATTTAATAGCTCATTAAAATATGTTATTAAAAAAATTAAACTGCTGAAACTCCATTGGGAACTGATTTGATTGATCGACTATCTTTCTGTGAACATTTTAGTAAATATTGATACTTAGTGAGGTAAGTACTGTCTGACCACTGATTTTTACAGATAGCATGCAAGTGTGGGCTTTCATCTTTATGTTGCAAAAATTATGTCTGTTTTAATACTGATATAATTATTTCATGGGTAATTGAATTTAATATTCTGCAGGCTTAATTTAACCAGTGGCAGAACAGTAAAAAGTGTCAAACTTTAATTGTGAAAAATGTAGAACTGCTCAAGGCACCTATTCTGTTGGTGTTTCCTGTCATTAGCCTACCCACAGCCTTCCCATTCTTGCTCCACCTAAACAGAAATCCCACATTGGCTCTTTTTTATTCCCCTAAACTAAATACACACATCAGTGATGGTATTCTCCCATTCCCCCAGGGATTGAGACTTGCCAGAGTGCAGGGAGAGTTGGTAGCTCTGCTCTGCAGCTCAGCTATGTGAAAGCAGCATGTGTGTTGTGTAAATTGCAGTTCCAGGACATCCCCTCTTTTCAATGGACCTGTGAAACAGATTGGGAAAACCTATGTTTCCTGCTCCTTCTCTGAGGAGAAGGGAACTCTAAGCCAGCAGCCAGCCTCCTTTTCTCCAGGCTGAGTGTGCAGTGAAGCAGCATGCTGTAGCTGTGGTGCTCTATGCTTTCTCGGGTTCTGGAAAGTTACAGGTCTCTCTGTGTGGG